CCTACCTCGGCTGGTATTACCGCCTCTATGCCAAACACTAGGTTGAAGGGAGATTCACTAGTCGCTTCTCTAACTGTGGTTCGATTTGCCCATAGTATTTCCGGTATGAGTTCAGCCCACAACCCTTTCGCATCTTCTATTTTCTTTTTCAACGCCGTTAAGATCTGCTTATTGGCAGCCTCTGCCTGGCCGTTAGACTATGGATGGCACACTGCCGAATAAGCGAACTTTACCATGTACATTCCTTAAAGGTCCTTTACCGGCTTACAGTCGAACTGCGATCCATGATCAAATACCATTTCTATCGGCAGCCTAAATCTAATGAAGATACTCTTCAAGATGAACTTTTTTACCTCATACGCAGATATCTTTGTTACCGGCTCCGTCTCTATCCATTTTGAAAAGTAGTCAATTCCCACTTTCAAAAACTTTCTTCCCCCAGTGGCTGATGAAAAAGGCCCCACTATATCCATTCCCTACTGTGCAAATGGGATTGGATTCAGTATCGGCGTTAAGTCGTTAGGTAGAAGATTGATAACTAGTCCATATTTCTGACACTTGTCACAGTGTTTGACATATTCCTAAGAATCTTCATTCATTGTCGGCCAGTAGTACCCCCGTTTCATTGCTTCCAACGACAGAGCTCGACCTCTAATATCATTGCCGCAGGTACGCTCGTGTATTTCTTCAATAAGTCTTGCTGACTCAAAAGTCGTTGTGCACCTCTAAAGAGGCAATAAGAATCCCTTTTTATATAACTGCCCTTGATGCATAACGAACCATACACTGTCTCGCCTTAGCTTCCGTGACTCGGTCTTATCTGTCGACAACGCTCCATACAATAAGTATCCTAGAATTTTGTCGTACCACTGGCTGCCGTTGTCAACACAAAGAACCTGCTCTGAGGTTTCATCAATGCTTCTCTACTTCAACACCTCGACCATTATTGTTCTCTCTAAATCATTGAAACTAGAACTAGCCAATCTTTCTAGGGCATCGGACTGCGTATTTTGTGCTCTCAGAACCAAGGTTATCTCAAAGTTCTCCAATTGTGCCGACAACTGGTTAAGCTTTTCAAGATACTTCACCATTGCAGGCTCTCTTGCCTCATACTCTCTACTGAACTGACTTGATACCAGTTGTGAATTAGTTATCAGAATTAACCGCTTTGCCTCTTCCGCTATAGACAGTTGAACCCCTGCTATTGTTGCTTCATATTCTGCTTCATTATTTGAAGCCTTAAACTTGAACTTCAAAGCATACTCAAACACATCCCCCTGTGGCAATGTTATCACTATACCGGCTCCTAATCCAGCCGCAGTTGCAAATACATCCACCGATACCTGGCACGTTCCCAGTGGCTCTTCCTCATTATTGTATGAGGCTTCCACAATGAATTCCGATAATGCTTGTGCCTTAATTGACACTCGGAGCTTATAGACCAACTTGTATTCCGATAGCTCAATCGCCCATTTTAACAATCGGCCTAAAGTATCCATCTTTTGCAATGACTTTTCTAACGGTTGATTGGTTAACATATATATTACATAGGCATCAAAATAAGGGCGTAACTTCCTCACCGCAATTACAACGACGTATGTCATCTTCACTATTACCAGATACCTGTGTTCTGCGACATTCAGAACATGACTGACAAAGTATATCGACATCTGCTGTTTATTTCTTTCCACCAACAATACCGCTGCTATTGTTTTTGGAGAGGCTGAAACGTATAATTATTATTGTTTATTTTTTCATGTCTCTACCCTTCGCTTTCATCGGTGCCGGTCTTACCCAATCTTCTCTATTCTGATTCACCGAATAGATAGCGGCCCTTGGCGTGTTCAAAGGGGTAAAAGTACAGTATCGTGCCGGTGCCCTTGCGCTTTTCAATTCCTGCCGGCTTCCACCCCCTCTCACCGGACCTGGGGCTCTCGGCTTATTACTTCCAGACGTTGTTCCGTCACATGGGTGTTGATTTTTGTCTGTCGGCACAGCTCTAATACTTGTCTTCAGCAACTCTTCACTTTTTATGTAATCATGAGCCTTGTTAGAGGCCGCTGCTAATGTCGGGAGATTCTTTCGTGTCAAGTACCGCTAAACTCATAATTGTTAAGGCCGTTCATCAACGCCATAACCGCAACCTCCTACTGTAACTTTGGAATTGTGTTTGCTTCATTGTTGAACCTCCTAATGTAGTCCCTTAAAAACTCATCTGACCTCTGCTCAACCGCCATCAGCTCTCCAGACGTTCGTTGGCGGACATTGTTACTGCTATACTGCCCTACAAACATCTCTTTCAGCTTCTCAAAGCTGTCAACTGTCCCGCTCCTCAAGTTGGAAAACCAATCTGAAGTTGCTCCAGTCAAGGTGGTCGGGAAGACCTTGCACCAGATTGCATCTGAATTTTTGTATAAGGTCATGTGCCCCTCATAGGATGTTATGTATCTATATGGATCACCCCTTCCATCATATTTGCATGCCGACATCTTAATTTTTTCCATCAGCTGATCCAAGATATCCTGCGTAAACGATGAAGCCCTTGGCTTCACAACTGCTCGTGCTACACCTTATCTTGCACTTTGTGAAGTTCTCTGCCTTTGAACTCCGGTACTAGCAATGTGGCTGGAGGATTGTGCCTCTGTCTCCCGGCCGGTTGCATGCGTCCTTGCTGGTGACACCTCTCGAGATGGACGCCTGGGCGAACCAGCCGCGCGACGAAACTGGCTGTCAAGATTTATTATAGGTACCTCTCCTCCAATCTGCTCATTACTGGCCCCTGCCTCTTTTCTTTTTCTACTCATTGCGCCCATTACTCTGGTTGTTATCTCCAGCTCTTCTGGAGTAAACTCGACCAATGGGTCCGCACTATATTGTTATGTCGTTCTGGTGTTATCGGCATATTGAACTAATTTCCTTCCAAGGTATGATAGAGTCTCATCCTCTATCACAACTTTCGGGACACTCGTACCATTTCCAGCTGTTACATTCAAGTTCGTTGTTTTTCTGATTCCGTTATCATTTTCAGGTGTTTCTTTGTTTCCGGTCATAATTTTACTGTGTTAGGTTCTTAGGCGATAGAAGTAATCACTATCCCCTCCTTCTAGCGCCAAATTGTTATTAATAAGACCCGACAACCCGTATCCGAGATCCGTGATGACCCTATTGTCCAGCCAAGCACCTACACAAGAAATAAGGATTAGCTAACCCCGGGTGAATCCGGGAATAGCCAATCCGATGACAAAGTCAAAAAGTGTTTAAGAAGAAGGAGAAGAGATGATATCAAGAGAGAGAGAGAGATTAAGAGAATGAGAGAGAGAGAGAGAAAGAAATTAAGAGAATGAGAGAGAGAGAGAGAGAGTAATAAATGTTACCTCTTTATGAAGAATTAAGTTGGCTATTTATTGAAGACTCAACTGCTACGTGGCTGCATGCCATGCAAATAATGTTCTTGCCAAGTGTTGGTCGCCTGATGCCACGCGTTATTCATCTGACGACTGTTATCTATGTCATTATAGTAGAATGCCGTTATACTCATTATGACCTCTTGTAGGTACCCGCTCAATTTGTGATGGTAGTTGATATCGACGTGTATCTATCTATTATCGGTATCTCCCCATACAAACACACATCAACTTCATTTTATGACAAATTCAATATATAATGTGATTTTGGTACCAAAATTGTACTATGTGAGATTTACACAGTGTGCGGCTACGACCTACTCATATATTGAATTTGAATAATTTGTCATAAAAAACTGAATTAAATGATGTAGCGAGCTTAATTTTGAAACAAACTAAAATATAATTATAATAAGTTTAGGAAATTTACATAAATTTGATTATGCAATTTAATTACCATATATTTGGAGTTCATCCTACATTAACCATTGAAAGACCACGTACTATAAGAAGTGAATTCATCAATAACGAACAATGCTATTACCTCCATTCATATTATTATTTACAACGATTTGATATAAAGTGTAACTAGAATACGTCTAATCGTTGCAAATAATATGAAACGGATATAATATTAAATAAAAATTGTTTTAGGCAGGATATACGAGAACAGCAATATGACTATACTTATGCTATAACACATTAATGAGACAGTAAACCCGCCTTGAATAATAATCCTCTAGAAGCCGCCGCCCAGTCCACTTATCCTCAAACGTCCACTTGCATGCACATACATAACTGATTAACTCCATGTATCTAAGATAACGTACTTAATTTAATTAAAGGATAGCCTTTTCTCTAGAAGTTCTACCCCTATGTAATCTTTAAGCTATACTGTGGTTAATTTACCCCCAGATTCCCGTCAAAAAAAAAATTAATTAAATAAAATAAAATTTACCCCCAGATAACGTACTAACTAGGGTTTGTAAAATCGAAGTTTCTTGTACTACAAAGGAGACTTGTTTAACATTAACCATTGTGTATCTTTTCAAATAAAATAATATAATTTTAGTCTAAGCAAGAAAATATGCTTTGTTTTATATCTCAAATTAGTACATATACCAGATCTAATTAACTCATTTTTCATTGATTTCAATTTGTGTCCATACGCATTTTCATACCCGCACACGCTTTAGGTAGTAATATTAATAACAAGATTTAGTTCATTAGATAGTAATTCGCAGAAGCACAAGTAAAAGGTGATAATTTAGAAAGAGAAAAGCTTGCTACTCCCTCTTCTACATAATAAATGAAACTTTGGAATTTTTTTTTACTATTTACATAGTGACTTTGACATAATTTTTTTTTTTTTTTTAATAATGAACTTATTAAAAATAAATTTTATCATGAAATATATTTTTAAATAGTTATTAATATAAAGTTTTATAACATCAACTTTTAATATTATTTACAAATAATTAATTCTATATACACGTAATGAAGGTCAAACTAATAGTGCATTGGCATGTGTGTGTCATATTTGACTATGACAATTATTTAGAGACAAATGGAGCAATTAGTATTCTCTTCATTCTTTTTTGCTTTACTTAGTTGCATTATGTAGTAATACTAATGTATTTGCATTTGTATCAAATTTGACTCTATCAATTATTCTGGGACAAAGGGTGTAAGTGAACAGGGAAAAAAAAAGGAGTAATAATTGACAAATTTATCATTAATATGCTAAGAGTACAAAAATTTAACATAAATATGCAACACTTTTCTTTCAAAAAAATTTAAAAAAAAAAAAAAAAAAAACAAATGCAACACTTCAATTCATTTACTATAGTTATGCTCATACTCTATAGTGGATGTCATTGAAAATACATAGGCCATGATGGGCATGAACCATCAAAAGCGTACTAATTGCATGGCGCTAATGGAGGACCGCACAAGCACTTGTTATTTGAAAACATGGCCGGTTTGAATTGTTTTAACCGCCTACCAGTTGGTATGTGCCCACAAAGTTGGTTGAAGCTCACGTCTATACTCTTTAACGGCAATTGGCCTAGTCTATTAGGAAGAGAACCATAAATATTATTATGGCTTATATCAAGATTGGCCAAATTTTGTGGAAGATCAACCTTAGAAAAGTTGAAGCTAAAGAGATTATGATCAATGTCTAGGGTGGTTAACGATGTCTTGTCCCTAGAAAACAAAAATGAGGCGTCTCCTGTAAACTTGTTGTGATAGAGATTTAGCTCGGTGATGTTGGCCTTCCCAAATGACCTTGGGATTGGTCCGGATAAGTTGTTGTAGTAGATGGAAAAGAAATTTATTACAGGGGTTTTGAAGGAGCCGAAGGAGGCTGGGATGGAACCGGTGAGCTGGTTTAGGCCAAGGTTGATCGCGAAGAGGTTGGGGAGTTGAGAAAGGGAAGATGGGATTGGGCCAGTGAGCTTATTGTCGAGGAGGTAAAGCTCACTTAAGTTTTTCATATAGCCAAAGAAGGCTGGGATGTGACCGGATAGGTGGTTCGTGGCAAGGGAAACTAGCTTAAGCTTGCTTAGTTTGCTAAGCGAAGAAGGAATTTGGCCAATAAGATTGTTGGATCCTAGGTCAAGGTACTCTAGGTCTTTAAGTTGGCTAAGGAAATCCGGGATTGGGCCACTGAGGTTGTTCCCGTTAAGGTCAAGGTGTTGAAGGGTCTTTAACTTCCCTATGCTTGGGGGTATGGGACCAGAGAGGTGGGGAAAGCTCCCAAAAGAAAGGAATTGGAGGTATGGGAGCTCTCCTATGGCAGGTGGGATCTCACCTATAACATCATCAGCAATGCTAGCTTCAAGCATTGTAACACGACCGTGTGCATCGCATTGGATCTCAGTCCAATTGCTACAACAATCTGTGTCAGGATCCCAGGTTGCAAACACGGAGGCATTGTTAAAATGGTACTTGATCTCAAGGAGGGTATTTTTATCATGTGAATTACACACTTTGGCCGAGGAAGCTAGGTTCAAGGATGAAAGGAAGAGCAAGAAAGTGCAAGTAAAGAAGAGAATAGAGCATCTTAGTGTAGGAGCATGCATGTTTAAATTGGCTACTTTTCTTATGTGATAAAAAAAATAAAATGTGATTGGTGCAATATATAAGTTAGGTAAAGAATAAATGCAAAAAGAGTCGCTATATATAAGCGGATACTATATATGTCAATATGAAGCATTGCATCAAATTTAATCCAATAATGGAGAGGTATGTAGCATATAGTTGCATAACAATAATACATGCACTAATTTGCAAGTTGATGAATGTAGATAAATGGGATTTCAGGCGGCGGCCCGAGGCATAATAATGATAATAATATTGGTGTTTTGGTCAAGAACATCCTGCCTATAGGCCCTATAACAACTTTAAGAGCATTATTATTGATGCATGTACCAAAATTAAAGAATTTCATCCCACTCAATAATATCTCTATATCAACATCTCTTGTAATATAAATTCTAGAAGAAACAATTATATTGTTGGAGAGGCCTCACTTCCATCCTAATATAACTATATTAAGGGGTTTTTTTTTTTATATATATATAAATTTTATCTCACATTATTACCAAAATATAAACTAAAACTAGCTAGAGGCAGTGGAAGAAGCATTTAATGAAATATATTAACAAGGAAACAAAACAAATTAAAACTAAATTTAACGAGGGTTCCTAAAAATGTTTATGCGCCACGTCGCACCCTCCTCATGAGCAAATGTTTTATTTTATGTCAACCTCCAAAATTAAAAAATTAGTTATTATTGTTTGAAGGTGTTTGAAGGTATCGAACACGCGACCTTTAAAATAAAATGTGAGAAGTTAACTACTGTTTGAATAAATATAACATCAATGTCTAATGTTTCAAAATAAAAGATAATAAATTCTTAATTTAAACATTTCTTTACAAGATTTAGATAACTAGTTAGACTTTCATCAACACATTTATAGTAATGACAAACGAATATTAAAACCCTTTTCTCATATCCAAATTTATTGTAAAACTTATATTAATATAAGCAATTTTTAAATTCCTTTCCATTTTTAGGGTGTTTATTGAAAATATCAAACAATCAATTACTTATAACGTCGTTGCATCAAAAATTTCTCTCTATGCAAAGATTACAAAATGTTACTCAGACATTACTCGGGACACTCGTTAGTTCACACTATTAAAGCATTATGGTCACACTTTCTCCCACCCTAAATGAAGCTGATAGAGATCAAAATATCGACGTAATAAATTTCTTTAATTTTTTTTTTTTATGTATTTTCTCCCTTTTATTTTTTTTCTTTTTTTTTCAACTTACAACACTTTTAATTCACTTATGCATTATTCATACACTTCACTTTGAATAACTTGATAAGTTATGCATTAGTCATGTGGGATTTTTTAAATTCGTCATAATTTATCATTTCATAATATTAATTTTTATAATTTTTATATACTTAATAATTAAAGATATTAGTGATTAAAATAATACATTGATAAACATGAAATGAAAAGTATTGTAAGGAAAAAAAAACCCAAAGAAATTCAATACAAAACTATTAAGGTAAAAAATTAAAAATATCCTAGCGACGCGGATCGTATTGATCAAATACCGACAAGTGGCCCAACAAGGTGAATATCAATGCATTTATTATTTGACTTGCACATGTCATGGTTTTTCTTATTTGACTTGCAATTAATTGAGTTTACATTATTACATAACTAAGTAACACATGCTCACCAACCCAATATACTACTCTCTTTGTTTCATAATGTTAGTGACAATTATATACATCGATGTAAATTTGTGATCGCAAATATTTTTATTTAATTTCATACTAACAAAAATTATAAAATTTAGATATTAATAATGTATGTATCGAGACGAATAAAACTAGATTTTATATAACTACGTTTGTTCTTATATAGAGAGAGAAATTTAGAAGATTTCCTCTAATTTTTAATAGTATTAAGATTCGAAATGGAACTAATATTATGAAACAGAGAGAGTCGCATATTTATTGATAAAAAGTAAAAGAAAGTGGGGAAAAGAGTGTGGGTAGGAAGGGTAAAATAGTAAAAGAGATTTGTTTTGTTTTTTTAATCCAATTAATTTTGATCAGATTTTGTTATTATATTTAACAAAAAATTGACATCATTTCTACACTAATTATTAAGATATAGAATTTCAAATGAATGAAAATAGATTAGTGTGATCTTAATCATACTTAAGTAATTGTTAAACCCTTCTTAGGCCATCATATAGTCTATAAAATTAGGCTTTATTCTATTCACCTTATTCTTATTAAATATTAAATTATTGTTAAAATCATATTAAATCAAGCTAGAGTAGAATAGATTAGAAAAATTCAGATCAAATTAGATTATATTAGAAAATTTAAATCAGAAAAATTAGAGCATAACATATCAAATAGATCTTAGTAGAACAAATTAAATCTGACCACATCAGATCAAATTATATAGATTCATCTTAGACTCTCCCAAATTATAAATATGTAGATCAAACCAAGACCATGTTAAAGAGAAGATGAAAGATTACCAAATTTAGATCAAAACACCTTAAATAAGCGAAGAGAACAAAAGTCCGAAATAAATATACTTTAAGAAACAAATAAGGGAGAGATTGTTATATACACCCGGGTGCACCGTATAATAATGAGTATTTTGTTATCATTTTAATGATTGTTTTTCATTTAATCATCAAAATGAGAGCAAAAACTAACCTTGGATTTACGGTACACCCGGGTGTATATAACAAATTCCACAGATAAGGAGTTATAGTTGAGTTTGAATATTTACATTGATCATTTTGGTATACTAGAAAATCCCGATTTTTAAATATAAGCCGTATTTGACAGTAGCGTTTTAGATAGCGGTTAGCATTTAGAATAACTCAAATACTAGTATGAAAAAATATAATATCAAAAGAAAAGTAGTCAAAGGGATTTGACGTCTAAGAGAACATACGAGAATTAAAGAAAACCGATTTGAAAAGTAACAACTTTCATGATTTTATTTTTTTTTTTTTTATTTTTTTTTTTTTTTACAAAGAACTTTCATGATTTCAATGCTTTCTAAAATTTCATTATTTAATCAAACCGGTTTAAACGAAACGAATACATTAACCTTTGATGGTATATATGGTGGCCCCTAGATCACTAGAAACTTGTATTACTATGGTGAAAGTTGTGAAGAAATTGCGATATTGTTGTGCCAAAGATTGCAAAATTGTTCACTATGAAAATAATATATATACATTTGGAGGAGTATAATCATTTATTCATATGTTTATAACATAATTTTTTTTGAATGGATATGCTTATACCATATAACAAAAGTTTATTACATTCATTATTAAGCTTTAGATCATTCAAATATTTTTATACATTATTTTAACATAAATTAATTTATGCAGCACAACAACAAATGTTGTAAATGCAATAAGAATTCTCGGCCAGTGGTGGACATTGTGCCTTACATAATTCGGTTGTACAACCAACTATGTGAATATTGCAACGGGGACCTACTCCTTCTACTCCAATAATGTCCTTTGGAACCATCACTTTTTCTAACCTTGAGCTCATAGCACTAGTACCTGCGTTTATAAATTATATATATTAATTAAACTATATTCATCTATAAAAATTATAAGAAAAAAAAAATAGTACACCATAAAATTGATTTAGATTATACATTTAACTAACTAATCCATATCATCTAAATGTTACGAATATATAATCGGAATTTCTTGTACCTTATAAGATTGAAAAGCAACACGTACAGTTTTTATAATCTCAATTTCAAGAATAGTCTATTATCATTTTATATTTTTTAATTTGAAAACAAATTGTTTATTCTCAAACATATATAAATATTTCAATTGATTTATCAATACTTACAAAATGAGGATTTCAAACCAAAATAATAATGTAAAAGATAATAATATTTCGTATTAATTTTAACTCTTACCACAAATTAAGATTACTAGTACCACTAGTATGAGAGACACAAATGATATCTTTCCAGCCATCTGATTAAACTTAGTGATTGTGAAAAAGGAATTTGAATATATAATATCAATTACTTTGTTTTATTTAAAGATGTTATGTGATCTATTGTCAATCTTTTGACCTATTTATATGATACTCCAGAGGTTTTTTTTTTTTATTATTATTTTTTTTATCCAATTCTCTTGCTACACATCAGCAAAAATCTAATAAGATTATTAATGAAGGATCAAATAAGATTTTTTGGAAGAAGGATCTAATAAGATTAATTTCTCACTTAAAATTGACTAATCATCTTTGTTTTTTTTTTTTTTCTTTTGGCTAGATAATTAGATTTCTATGATTCCCTTCCTATAACTACATAAATGTAGAGGTGTCAAAAACTAACTCGGTAAAAAACAACCACACTTCCATCAACTCCTTTTTCTTGCTATAGTAACTTTTTTTTTTTTTTTTTTTTGACAGGAAGCTAAGAAAATATGATCTCATTAATAAAAAAAATAATCAAATGACATATAAAACAATTTCAAAGAAATCTAAAAATTCCAACACATATACATAACACCTTGGAACATTATCATGTTTTGCTAACTAAAATTTAAGTTATGATCATTTCAATATTGTATTAGTCTTTATGTGTACGATATATTCACCTCTAACAATGAGGTCTATAAATAAGAAGCCAAATATATTTGCGTGTTAAGAAATAATTATTTAAGAGACCTATTTTGGTGGAAAAAGTAATTGATTTAGAGGGGGAAAAAATATAAAAAAAAAATATATATATATATATATCGAAGAGACTAGGTTTTTAAATTTTAACAAAGGATAATAAGTCAACTTGTCTACACGTCTAGTGGCTCGATTTGTCTATATTACAATATCTCAGAGACCGGTTGTATGATATAGATTATCTCTTTGTTATATTTTTTTTTTGGGTGGAATGGAAGTTCAATTGTAACTTTATGTATCCCTCTAGATCTGCCACACACAAACAAACATCTTTGTGCTTTATTTTAACAATACATAGTAATGTAGGAAAATGTCATTCATTTTAATTTTAATTTTAATTAAACTATTAACATTTTACAATTTTACTTATTGGCAAGTAAATGAATTAATGGTTGAAATTTTAGGGATAACAAAACTTAAAATACCAATGTTACAATTAAAAATAAACAGATGAAAAGTATATTAGTATAAAACACAATCATTTAAAAAAAAAATACTTAAACATTTGTGACCGAAGAAGTAGATGCAACAACGGAATGGTACGTAGAAGTGTACAACTCTCAATTCACGTACACCTCCTCGATCTCCTTATTTAAATTACTGAATGTAAATAAGCTAATGCATTATACTATATAAAGTTTACTAATGGCAAGGTGCTAATGGTGGACCGCACAAGCACTTGTTATGGGAAAAGAATACGGGGCTAAACTGCTTTAATCTCCTACCAGTTGGTATCTTCCCACAAAGCTGGTTGAAGCTCACGTCAATCTTTTTCAAAGGCAACTGCCCTAGTCGTTTAGGCAATGAACCATAGATTTTGTTATGGCTTATGTTTAGATACTCTAAACTTTGAGGAAGATCAACATTTGAAAAATCAAAGTGAAAGAGATTGTTACTTATGTCTATACTGAATAAGGATGTGTTGTCTTTTGAAAATAGAAATGATGCATCACCCGTGAACTTGTTGTCGTTGAGATCTAATAATTGAATGTTAGCCTTTCCAAGTGACTTTGGGACCGGACCGGATAGTTTGTTGGAATAGAGGGATAGGGAGGTTATTAAAGGGCTTATGAATGAGCCAAAGGACTCTGGGATTGAGCCTGTGAGTTGGTTTGAGCCTAGGTTGATCGCGGATATTTTTGGGAGTTGGGAGAGTGAAGATGGGATTGGGCCAGTAAGCTTATTGTCGTAGAGGTAAAGGAACTCTAAGTTTCTCATAAGTCCCAAAAAGGATGGAATGTGACCGGAGAGGTTGTTTGTATGGAGAATAGCGGTCTTAAGCTTACGTAATTTACCAAGGGATGAGGGGATTGGGCCGGCAAGGTTGTAAGAAGTGAAATCGAGTGTTGTAACATGGCCATGTTTATCACAGCCTAAGACACCAGACCAGTCGTTACAACAATCAGTTTTAGAATCCCAAGTTTTGAAAGCAGAGACATTGTGGAAATGGTATTTGATATCAAGGAGGGCTTTTTTGTCACTTGGGTTACAAACAATGGCCGAGGAAGCTAGGTTTAAGGATGAGAGGAAGAGCAAGAAAGTGTAGCTAAAGAAGAGGAGAGAACATTTTAGTGCAGGAGCTTGCATGGTGTTTTGTTGGCTACTTAATTGGCTATATGGGATTGAAAAGGAAAGTTTGTGTTTATAATGAGATGTATACATGGAAAAAGAGTTGCTATATATAGATAGACAACATAAAGATTTGAAGCAATATTAAATCAAATTTTAATCTATATAATGATGTAGAATTAGGTAGCAAATAGTGTTTACTATAATTAAGGCACACTAATAATTTGCAAGGGGATAATTGAAGCATGATCAAGTGGACTAGAGGCGGCCGATCGAGTGAGTCATAATGTGTCATTCAAAGTGGGCTCAATGTCTCAATTATGTGATATTGTGCATAGAGAATAAAGACAATAAAGATAGTCAGATATATGCATTCTCGGTGGCAATTCTTAGTTTCGAATCCAGTCATGATCAATCTGCCAAAAATAGTTTACAAGCTCGTCATTATTTGAACTATTCAATAAGATGTAACACGTAACCATTATAGTAATATAGTATGTTTGCAATCAGCAATTTTGCATTACGTAATTATTGTTATTTATTGGAGGTTTATGGAGGAGATATCAAGCAATGCATTTCTGCACCAAACATTGTACGTATATATTAAGTATTAACTATTACTAAAACAAGTTATTGCTGACATCAGTAACTAGCACTACACCTATCAACTTATTATGAAGATCTTTCCACCTAAACTAGTTATGAAGTCATCCTTTTTAAGTTTTTTCCCACTCAGTTACTACCAAATTGATTGAAGATGTTGTTTCAGGGATTTTTGGAATGACCTGAAGGGGGGTATGGATTTCCTCGAGAGACAGATCCAGAATGCAGCACTCATACGGCCTGAACACCCTGAAAAACAACGAATCTCCGGTTTACCGAAAATCCGCCTCTGACGATCAAGTTAGTGATCGGCAACGGAAGTTTAGAGAGAGAAAGTAGAGAGAAGTGAGAGCATATTTTGGGCAGAGTGCCTTTGGTAATTGTGATGTCTTGTGTCCCATCATAAGCTTATGGGATATTTATAGGGAAGTGGGAGATCATGCTCTTAGGGTTTCATAACCTAGGAAGATCGCATGCCCTGTACGTGGTAGACACGTGTCTTAGGCTATGCTTTATGATAGGTTTTTTTTCCTTTAATGGCCTTTGAGCCATTCATTATCTGATGTCTCTCTTTAGGCCACGTGTCATGCTCGTATTGGCCGTTTATAGCTGAGTTGGATGCCACATGTCGGCTTATAATTGGGCCATTTGTTGGCCTTTTTTTTTGTCTATGATAGGGGTTTAAAATACCTCGAAGCAGTTATAAGAACAGAGTTTTCAAATAAAGAGTAATAACTACTATTTAAAAAAATTATATTATTCAAATTGAACCTAGTTTTCTATAAAGTGGGACGATGCTGCTACTATTGCATTATTGTGCTAACTAGGTTAGGACTCGTACCATGCACATTAATTTGTAATAAGTATTCTCGTATTAACACTACATTTAATTTAATTATCAAATATAAATTTTTCTAAAATCTTATGCTCATTTGATGTACACCCGGGTTTAGGGTGCACGCACTCAGGGTATTTTCTGCTCATTTAATATTTTTTTTGCTCATTTTAAAATCTTGAAATGAGAAAGAAAAAAATATCAAATAAGAAAAAAGAAAAAGAAAAAAAAAAGAGTACTTTTTTGTACACCTATCTCTATGTGCACTTAAGTATATATAAAAGGTGTTATTTGTCCAGATAGATATTTTAAAATACGCATTTGACAATATGCATATTTTTTTATATATTTGATTTCAATAATAAATTGGTATCATTTCTTTTAGTTAATCAAATGAATTTCTAAAACATAGTATATTACACTATTTATTGTTTTTTTTTTGCTTAAATTTATAGTCGTTTATATATTTTATGGACATCAAATCTTTTATTGCAATCTTTTATTTTAAGTAATTTTTTTAATATTTTATATTCGAATTACTTTCTTCCACTTTCTAATATATAATTAAATAAAATATAAAAAAATATGGAATCTTTGTTGTAATATTTGACATAAATTCTAGTAAAAATTTGATTTATTTTTATTTTTTACTTATGTTTATATAGTTGTCAATATGTTAAAAGAAAGATACATCAAATCTTTTATTTATATATGTCATGGAATATTGTATGGATATCCATTATCCTCCTTTTATCATTCCGGAATATTCTAGATATAGGGTTTATTGTGATTTAAGCAAACTCTTGTTATATTGTATGTATATATATCCCCCACTCTATGGATCAAGATAGACTAATTTATTCTCTCCCCAATTTCTCTTCTATTTCTCTTTATTTCTCTTCCATATTTAACACGTTATCAGCACCAAACTCTACCTCTAGCTAGGAACCGTCTTTTAGGTCAGATTCACCATGACGCGACAAGTTTGGTCTACGCAACATTGAGATAAGTATTTATCATTTTATTTGCTTATTCAGTAACAATCTAAGACGAACCTAACTTTTCAAAACTCATTATAGTTACGTGACAACACAAATAAATTACATCATCAATTTTAACAACATCGATCATGTAAACAAAATAAATTTGCTCCAAATAAAAAAAAAGACTAAATCAACATATCATGAATCAAATATTTGAAATCAATATTTTTTTTTTCGTACTCTTTCGATACTCACCAATTCTAATTGATATTGTTGGTGATTTTTCTTTTCACAGGCCTTTATTTCTTTGGGTCATTTAAGAGCACATGTATTTTGATTTCTTTAATTTGATGCATTGTATGATTTGTTATACAAGGGGATTGTGATAGAGGATTTGTTGTTTAGACTTCGAATACTCTAAATTATTTTATGCTTATTTCGGCTAAATTATGTAAACTCGTTCATGGATATGTGATTTAATTTCTAACATATTATAGAGTACTTTTATAACTCGTTTGGCAAGTTTTGTTCGTTGCATTGAGTTCATGATTCTGCTTTTGAAGCCATTAAAATTTCCATGCTCTGAATTGGAAAAGAGAATAATTAGTCCACCCTTTTAGTATTAGTACTGCCAATGTTCATGTTGTGGTAATTTTATCTAGCTCCTTTAATATTCCATCCAGGCATGAAGATGTTTATTTTGTTTGTTTATTATGTTTCCACGATAATTCATCAACAGTTTGCTATTAACTTGATATTATATACTGCTGCATCTATTACTTCAATTTTATGTGATTGTGTTTCTTGTGATGAGCAAAATATATATATATATATATATATATATATATATATATATATATATATATATATATATATATATATATATATGTATATATATATATATATATATATATATATATATATATATATATATATATATATATATATATATAATATACAGAGTACTCTCTACCAAGGGGGACTTTATATGCTTTGGTCTAATTATATTTTAATGTTGAAACTTTATATTCTAGTTTTGTTTGAGTAGTGGTAGTTGTATTCATTTTGTGATTTATCTACTATGTAGCTTTTTATAAATCCTAGAACGTGAACTACAATAATATGATATCTAATTAATATAGGATACAAGTATACCTTATGTCTCCCTCAGTCCCTCTTATACCTTATGTTTCCCCAATCCGCCATTAAGGTAATTGTTTGGTTATTGATGCTTATTTGGATTACAATATTTTATCACATTAATAATATAAATGTTTATTTGAAGATTATCGTTATCCCAACATTGATTACATTTTAGATATTGGAACTGTTTTTGCATTAGGTTTTGTTTCTAATTAGCCGCCAGAATTATAATTATTATGATTGTAATATGAAGAGCTAGGATATTCTACATCTACTTCTTGTATTATGTGTGGTAGTATATATAGTATGTACTCTACTATAACCTTCACCATACAACATGATGCTTCTTTGTGAGTTGGGATCCATAGTTATTGTAGTTAAAGTTTCGTTTACTACTTCTCATATATTCCTGTGATCTATGTATATATGCTTTTATATACTAGCATATACAAGCTGACATGTGATAATAGTCTTGGATTGGAACATTTCTATATTTTCTTCACCTTTTAATATTCAAATTATATCCAAGTATAGATAAAGATATTTGTTGCAATTTTGCAAAATATAGGACATGAATGAAACCTGTTTAACCTTCTCGTTTGGACCGATATATTTGGAGTGACTAATACTTGTTATTTAAATGCTATCGCCATTACTTGTTTGATGCTCATACATTCATTTGATTTGATTTTATAAATGAGATGAGAGTATATACATATGAGCACAACTAATATTTGTTACATATGAGCAAGACTACTATTATAAGTTTATTATCTCCTTAACGCCATTAGAAAGAACATATAAAAGGCTAGACTTTGAATAGTATTCTAGACGACACCGAACCCTGGGTGGATGTGAGTTGGTAAATCATAAATTACTAGATTTACTCACTTCCTGAAGTAAATGAGAAATTGGGATTGAAAGGATAACAACATGTTTGCATGATGTTTTCTTAATTATGATTCATTAAATAAGAATTGCAAGAACATGATGTGTGGACCTGAAGTTCCCTAAATTTATAAAGAGTAATCACACACATAGACTTAAAGTTTCTTGAACTTATAAAGCCCAAAACCCTTAAGAATAATACAAAAGTTTAGAAAAGTTGACATAATGTCTTTTAATTTGGTGGTTATTTTAGATACCACACTTTGGGTGAGTATTAATGATTCATAGATTACTAGATTCTTGAATAAGATGATACATGCATATCCATGTTTTCGTGATGAATATAATTCATGCAAAAGTATACGATTTGCAAATTAAACATGATTGCACAATATTTATTTGAGCAAGAGATAGATGACATTGTGGGAAACTTACTTGTAAAAATATATTTATTGTTCCCATACTTATAGAGATTATATAATTGGGCAAGAGCTACGTTTAAGAGTTTATGAGAATAATTTTATTATGCTTGATACATGCATTGCTAAAAGAATTTATGCCTTAAAGGTGAAAGAGATTTAAAGGTTGTTGAATTCATTTCATGCCCCACATGCAAGGATTAGGGGGAGATTGTATTTATTTCATTATTTTTTG